AAAAGCAGTAGTTGCAGCAATGTTAGCAGACCAGCTTGTGTTAAATCCTTTCACTGAAAACGTTAATGCTCAATGATGCATATACAGATATATATGGACCATTAAGTATACATACATAGAAACATAGAAGTGGGTGTGTATACATAAAGATATATTTATCAGAGCAAACTTAATGATCCCCATCTATAAATGAGTGCCTGCACACACACATATTATGAGTCTACTAAAATGACAGCAAAGCTCTGCAGGGCTGTGAAGCAAAAAGTTTGTTTCTGTTAATGTAAGTTTGGAGAGATGCTTAGCAGAGGAGATGAAGTGGCAGAGGTAATAATTATGAGTCAGAGCTGGAACAACATAAAGCCCTTCTCTGGACCCACAAAACCATGTTGTCTCTGATTTGAATGGTACAGACTAGCAACTCTCTCAACCAAACACTGCTTCTGTTTGGATATATCACAATTGACTAGAACGTTAAGACAATCTGATTCTTTTCCCCTGGTGGACAATCTCAGGCACGTAACATGCTGTGCCCATGGTTTGTCAACACAGACTCATTAGAATGTGAAATCATTAGAAGATATACTAGTCACCAGTGAGGGTTATAGGACAGAACTTAGAAAACTGTAGGTTTCAAAGATGAGTGCTTTCTAGGCAATCTGTGGGTCACATAAGAACATACCTAACCTATTGTCCGTATGCATTTATTTTCCTGCAGGACCCTTTGTTTGCTATAGCTATTTTCCTCACACCTGCACCAAACACTGCAATTTGTTACCAAAATTTGGTACAAATCTCTTGAAGTTCTGTGATGTTAAAGGAGCTGAACTGACAATCTTGTCAGATGAGATGAGTGTCAAAACAACAATAGAAGGAACTGCATAAGTGGATGATCAGCCAGGAATGGAGAGAGAGTGGATTCACCTTGTTCAGTCAGTAGCTCCAAGTTAGACGAGCTCACACAGTCTCATAGTGCTTCCCTGTGTGTCACAAAACTACATTTTTAGCACAGCCCACTCAGCTGTGCTTGTAAGGAAATACTTAATTCTTGCACCCTTACAGCTATGTGAAATAACAAAATCATAAAATAGAGTGAATCAGACCTCTGCAAGACGCCTTGTCCAACTTCCCATCAAAAGCAACTCGAAGTACACTAAGAAACATAAAATGCCCCTACAGGCAAATCTACAGATCTTACTGCTAAGTTCTTTATGACTTTTTAGGATATTTATACACAACACAGAACACAGATGATCCAAAAAACCCTAGGATGCTCATATAGACAGGCACTGCAACTACTCAGAGAACAGTCATGAAATGGCATGAAATTCTGTGCTAAAACTGTTGCTGCTTCCTACAGCCCAGAGACCCCTTATAGGATGTGCCACAAAATGAAGGTTGGGAATAATAGTCATTCTACTGATGTACTGATTTTAATAAGATGGTATTATAATAATGTTGTTAATAACACAATACGTTAATAATAGTTGGAGTATACACATTGCCCTGCTAATATTAGTTTTTGAAGTAGTTGAACACAGACCACTTTATACAAATCAATGGAAAAAAGTGTCCCTAACAGGAATCAGCTGAGATCACTCAGTGAAACATTTTGCATTTTCCAGGATGAAAAAGAAATCTTTAAAAGCCACTAATTTACCCATTTTGGCAGAGCATAAATATGAGCACAGCCTTGGTGCCTGCCTCAGCCCTGCTTCTACTCTAAGAGCTCCCACTGATCCCATTGTCAGCTGGGGGACGCTAATACCAAGTCATTGTGCTCCTCTCATCAGCTTCTTGAAATCATTGGGATTTCTACCTGCCAACACAAATTCTATGTACCTCCAACCCCCATGTGTTGCCTTGGTTCAAAGGATGGCCAGTACCAATAGAAAGGCATTGATTTCTTCTCAGCCAAAGCTTCCACAAGCTCATTATGATCCTACACTGCCCTTATAGATGAGTTCACTAAAGTGCTCATTGCAAGAAATACCTAAGCGATCTGCATAGAAATGGTTTGCAAACAGGCTTTATAAATGGGCTTTTTCCTCCTCAGTTTCTTTAACATTGTGAATAGGAATTTCTCTAAACATTTATTACAAGTGTCATGTGAAATGTCTCTATATGGCAGACTACAGACTATTAGGAATATTTTTTAAAATTGCTAATGATGACTGTAATAATAAAAACAATACTAATAACAATAACAATAGCAATAATAATGATACACCTGCAGAGCTTTCAAGAGTCAGCTCTCAACAAAGCTGATACACAATATTCAGCAAGATAACTCACTTCCTACATTCTCTATCAGAAGACTACAGACATGTAAGTAACAACAACCTTAGTTTTAAAATGCGTCTTTCATCTCAGAAGAAAACTGCATTGATTTATAAAGTAAATGGGCTAAATCCACAGCTAGTTGATTAGCTCCATTGATTTCAATGAAGGTGCTGATGTGTAAATTTATTTGAGTTCAGATCTGTCTCTGCATGTGTGTGTATGGGGTTGGAAGATGATACACATTGTGCATTGCCCAAAGAATTTCAGGGAAACACTTTATTTACTAACACAGAAAGTGACATATTATTGCTGCATTAGGAGAAAAATGCAGAGAGTGAAGAGAATACAGGATCTAATCTTTAGCTGAGGACTGGTATATATTGCCCCAACGGGATGCTCACAGCAGTCTTGTGAAAAGTCTCATAGGTATATCATATGCTGTTGCGTTTTGCTCTTTGCAAAAACAGGGTTAATATTGCAGATAGCAAGACAGCAGATGCACAGATATAGTCTTCCACACAAACAAGTACTCCACTTTTTTTTGCAGAAAAAGCCAAAGCCAACGCACAGTTTTGGAGTAAAGGAAAAGCTAGTAATCCTACTGTAACTGATACCACCTCTACTCCAATGAAATCTCAGTAACTGTCTGTGACACAGACACAGAAGCTGCCCCGTTCTGCCCCAGCACTGTTTGGGAAACAAATTTAAAAGTGCTGCTCCTATGCTTAGATATAGATAACCATAATTAATTAGCCCAGTGTTCCTGTGAAACTTGAGCACAGGAAATATAGATGGGCATGCACAAGTTAGATATTCCTTCCTGATTCTTCCAAGACTACAGCACCAATACACTTCTGCCATTGGCATAGAAGCAGCCAGCTCAAATGACCCTTTGCCAGAGGAGGATTTTCCCCCAGCCCTTTTCTTACAGCTAAGTTGACCTCAACTGCAAGTGTAGACGACTACTTACCACATACTTATTTCTGTTTAGGTAAAGCTAACGTAGGTCTGGTCTTTGAAAGGCATACCAACACCAATCATGCAACTCAGTTGGAATAAATTCAAATTACTAGCAGAAATGCCCAGGACACAAAACTTCTATCTGATCCAAGCTTCCTCAGAAACTGATGACAAGTGTACCCAGCAGTCTGCTCTCAAGTCTGTCACTACCAGTGATACCAGCAAGGAGAGACACACACACATGTCTGCCATATAAGTAGGCAGATGGACTGAAGCCTAGAAGAAAATACACTGGGATTGAATCTCTTTTCTCTTGCAAGTAGTGAAAATCTGCAGGAACTTCAGGTGCAGGTGCAGAAAACAGGAAAAGCAAATCAACTGCAAGGTGAAATTTATCTTGTGTCATCTGCCCAAAAGTTGTGCTGCAACAGCATCTGATGCAATTAACCAAATATACTCCTTCATGCCACTGCAGATGTGCTTCACAGGCATGCCCCAGTCTAAGGCATCTTAGCCACCTTGCCTCCTGATCCTTTTCAAGCTGTTCCAGCCAGCTTAGAGAAAATACAGGAAGGCACGTCTGCAAGCAATGAAGGCAGTGCATCTAGTTCCTTCTTTGTTCAGAATCCCAATGCAGCATGTTCTGATCTGCTTTGCACAAGAGGCTGAATGACTATTTGAAGATGCCTTTGAACTTAAGAAGTTTCCTCTCTCCCCTGTTTGTTAAACTCTGATCATGGCCTGTTCTTTAGCCAAAATTACCTACCAGCTCTTCCAGCCTTGCCCAGCGCTTCAGAACTGTCGGGAGGAGGAAGGTCCAAGAACCTTTGGTGCCAGCCCAGGCTCTTTGTTCCATTGTATGGGTGAATCGTAGCATACTATGCCCCAGACCAGCGAGGTTATTCTGTGCTCAGCTGTGCATATGCACACTGAGAACACACTTGAGCTAGAACCAGATGTACAGCCCACAATGCAGATAGCAACTAAAGAGGTTTGGGGATATTCATACTCAGCAGCAATCTCAAAAGACAGTCAAGCTGCACAACTGAAGCAAGTACAGAACTGACATTAGGTGCAGCCATACACATTTGTGGCCCTGAAGAGCACTGCAACCTATGGGACACCAGATGCAGGGAACACAATCTCAGTTACATTTATGAGAAGGGACATCTGGATGTCACAAGTCCTGTTTCTGGATCTGCAACAGCACCTGGTATGAGGCATCTCTCAGAGCATAAAAGCATAAGCAGTTCTGTACTGAATGCATGAAAGTTGCTGTCAACACCATGGGATGTTTCAACCCATGCGTGTGTCACACAGACTTACTCCAAAACAGAGTGTCACCAAATATAGATCAGGGCAGAGGTGGCTTCATCTAGTGAAGGCTTGAAAATTTCCAGGTATGGCAATACCACAACTTCTCTGTAAAGTAATTAGGGCTACAACACTCCCCAGAGAAGCAGATTTACCTACTGTCTTACTTGAACTCACAAGATACAGCTTGGGACCTTGTTATACCCCCTGCCACTACTGGGAAGAGTTTGTCTCCATCATCTCTTTGCCACATGATACATGGATACTCCACCTGAGTCTGTGACCATCAGCAAAACCCACAAACAGCACCAAACCTTATTGCAACACCACATGTGTAACTATACAGTGCTGCACTGCATACCATGAGGCTTACCATGCACTTGGGGATCTCCATGCACTCCCTTCTGCCATCACATTTTAAAGAAGTTAAGAGCTACGATACTTACGTCATTATCTGGGTCTCTATGCCAGGGTCTACAAGGGATCCATCCACAAAAAGTGGTGTTGATGTGAAACTGTATTTACTCCATGATCTTCCCTCATCAAAACTCACCCTAGGATAGAAGCAAACAAGATTTATACACATTAAAAACTTTAGTACAACTGCAGCAATTAAAGGTTGTATAAGGTCTGCAAGCTCCAGCAGCTAGATTTATAGACAAGCACCAATCTTTGCCATTTCCCAGACCACTCATTCATGCTCTTGGTGTACCTTGAAAGATCAAAGCCTTAGAAAGTATAAACACTGCCAATAAGGACACAGGTATATTTGATCCAGCTGTACATCAGACCTCAATGGATCAAGAGGCATTGCAAGTCCTGTTTCTGGATCTTCAATAGCACCTGGCATGAGGCATCTCTCAGAGCATAAGCAGTCCTGTCCTGAATGCATGAAAATTGCTGTCAACACCATGGGATATTTCAATCCATGTGCATATCAGTGCCATATGGCATTAACTGCAATCTCTCTAACACTATTAATACTTCCTTGCATGCCATTTCAGAGGTGCTCTCCATTCTACAAAGAAGCAGAGGGAGGAAGGAAGCCAAACTGAGCCACAATCAATGGTTAGTCTGGATGCTCGCTGCTTGTTGTAAAGCAATGTTGCACGCTGATTAAAATTAATGCATTTCCTTTGGAATCTGTTCACATTATCAGTAACAAGTCAGGATAATTCAGTGGCTTTTGATCATCTGTCCATATCCACAATCACCATGTGGCTTACTTCCTGTTTTTATCAAAGAGCACATGTGTCCTAATCCAGCTGACAGGGTCTTGGTTGAATTAGATAGTACACTGGCCTGGCACAAGCCGAAATCCCTGGCCCCAGCCGCCTGACACCCAGGGTTGGGGCTGCCACTGGGTGCTCTGCTTCTAGCCGGGGCAGTGGGATGGTTGCTGCTCCTATTCTGCTGTCCCATGGACCTCAGTTTGCCACCAGCCTTCAGGTCACCACGCTAGCCTTTGCCACAGCTGTGCAGGAAACAGCCAGAGGAGGGTGTGCACACCCAGCTGTTACTGCAGCAGGAAAGACAGGCAACCTGCAGGCTGGATGCCCATCAACAGTTCTGAAAGCAACTGCATTTCTCTCTGCCCCCAGACTGTTTGCATAACCATTCCTGCACAATTTCTGCACAGGATTTCAGCTCCAAATTATATCAGCAAATAATGAACAGAGAAGCACAAAGGTTGATTAGCTATAAAATTATTTGATCTTCTCCCAGCAGGGCCATTACAGAGTGCTCTGTAATTCTGCGTGGTACCCCAGCTGTGAAAGTTCACAGATTGCTACCTATGGACATTACCAACAGACAGTCATAGCACAGACTTCATATTTAAACAGCAGGAAACACTGCTCATTTTAAAGTGAAAATAGAAAAGAAGCTTGCCTTATTTTCCAGGCAAGAAAAGTGTTCACACACATGCATCTGAGCACCTGGATTTGTCTGAGAGGGTCTTGCTGGAAATGGAGTCCTTCCACCCCAAGTAAGTCTCATCAGGGACACCTAATGCCACCAAAGGACCAGGAGGCCAGTATAATATCTATTACAATGGTTTACACCAGCCTCAGACCTCTGGTGTAGAAAACCAAGGCTTGCAATTACTATTCGCTAAGCATCTGCCTCTCACAGCTCCTAGAAAAACACCTTCATCCGACTTACAGCGCACATCTGCCAGAATACGAAGCTGACTATAGACTGAAGACAGAAAGCTGGGAGTACGACAGCATACAAAAAGCTTATCTGCCCTAAATCTACTTATTTAAATGCATGTATCTTCCCACACACCTGTGCATTTGTATGCTGTTCTTCCTGCATGCTTATCTATCTAAATAACATTTCAATTTCTGGGGAACAGCATGCTTCATTAGTGTAACTAAAGTTCTCTTGGCTTTTCAATTACCCAGCCCTCTTTTCTCCAGGATGAAACTTATTGTACAATGTCTCAGCCTGAGAACTGATGGATATACATGTACCTTTTAATCTATTCCACTCCTGCCCATGAAACAGGTGCTTACTGAGGCGATATGAAGCAAATTCCAAAGTCCCTAAGGGTACAATTTTGGAGGAAACCTATTGGAGCTTGTTAACAGCAGCTCTAAATCACTACTCATTTAATAGAGTGGGTGGGGCACTCATAGTACTGCACATGCCATTTCATGAGATTTAGTGGCAAGGCAGGACACCTGAAAGGAACCTCTGCAAGGCAAACTAAGGTGAACTGGGTTCTTAGCTCCTGTTGAAAGCCAGCCTCTGACCAAATCTTTCCCCAGTACAGGCACTTGCATCTAACATGCTTTTTATGTCCAAAGAGCCTTCACAAGGTAAGACACAATCAAAACAGTTACAGCTGGGTTGAATAATATAGTAATAAACAGTTAATACAGCTCTTTCAGTAAGTGGCTCACCTTTAACTCTTTCAGAGCTCAACTTGCCACAGCCCAATGTACCTACTGCTGGTGACACCTACCCTTGCCTAACACACTCTTCTGCTTTGGCTCACACTGGCTTGGTCTAAACATGGTCCTGTGGCACATCTGATATAGTCACGATCACTGTCCCCCCCTACCAGGGGCAAACAGTTCTAGTCACACAACATGCTCTAACCACAGACAGCTGGAGTTTGCTGGAAGCATCATTATGTGTCTGTCCTGTTACTGCTCTCCTTTATATGTCCACTTATGAAAGCTGTTGGCAAGGGGATGCTGGCCTAGGCTAACTCCTGGCCCTGACTCAGTACGTACTAAGTTACAATTTGCTTGTAAGTGCACAGAGGCACAAATCTCTTAAAGAACGCTTGGTTCCCCTATCCTAGAAAAATGGCAAAGCTTTAGGAATATGAGCCAATATATCCTGTGTTAATAATCTACTAACGCACCAAAACTAAAGCATTTCTTTAGCTCAGGTGGTCATGAAATGTGCTTAAATGCAACACATTTAAACTTTAATTGAAATCTATGCTGCAGCCACCCAAGAGTTATCTGTCAGGTCAGGAATATAAAGTCCAGAAACTTTTCGTATTGAGAAAGTAGCCATTAATGTTCTTAAGGCACATCTCTTAAGGCACATCAGTTTGTGGTCAGTAAAGACAGCCTGTCTTAAAATCTTCAGCTTCTGAATGACTGTAATTTAACTGAAGGATTTTGTACCATAATGACTCAGGTAGAGGAGACCTTAACACCTCATCATTGCTGCCAAACACTATTGCTTTCTTTTTCTATTTGACTGCAAGCCACTTTTCCTGTTCTGCATGAAAAGCATGAGATAGACATGTGCTTAGCACCATCAAACCGTGAGAGGACTCAGTGTTGCAGACAGGAACACAAATCTTGTCTCTGAAGGTTATTTCTAACTAATTCACTTCTAAGCAACATTAGAAGCTGGGTAGGTGAGTCCATTAGCCATGTCTTTCTTTCACTCAAGACCAGAGACTGAAGACAATGCTAATACACACATTTTCTGTAAACAAGGTTAGTTCCAAATTTCAGAAGGCCTCTCTCTAATGCTTACCTGGTGCCAGGAGTGAGAGGGGCAAAGACAAAAGAGAGGATAATTTTGGGCAGTATCTCTAGTGCTTAGACTGTTATAACCTACTTATAGAAAAGTGGTATCTTCAGCTGAGAAATCACTTTGCCCTATTCCACCTTCAAATCTATTCAGTTGCTATCACTGTATCTCTGGAAATTGATAATGAAAACCTATAGGAGAGAGCAGTGTTAGCAACATATCTCTACTGTCATATCTCTGCTGTCCTATCAACACCTGCTTTGCTCTCCTCTCCCTCCCTTTAAGTTTCTAACCAGCTTAATAATAAACAAAAGGCAGAACTGAGGGACGCATCCTCTCAAAAATACAAAGGATGATTTCTTAGTATATATGTGTCTGTGTGAAAGAAAGCCCATCTGAAGTCTCACAATACATTACTAGTGCAAAGAGTAATTAATATATCTGTGTGATTATGTATATAGCTATTACATTTATAAAATGGTACAATAATTATCATATTAATGGAGAAAACAAAAATGATGGTGAAATGCAGGATAGAATTATCTCATTTACTCATTTTATGGACAGTAGCAGATGTTGATGAGGTGATGCAATAGATGTTACCACAACTGTCAGCCTATCCCCACCAGGAAAACACCTCAAATAATAGGTTTCCTTACCACATGTGCTGGATGGGCACCGATGTGTGTTTCAAGGCCACTAGTGCCCCTCCCCAGTCCAGAAACCAAACGTTGTATTCCTCCTCGAAGATCTGCAAACAAATCAGGTGCTGCATGAGTGTTCCACTCTACAGGGAAGAATCAGAAGAGGACTCCATACTTTCCTTCGCTGTGCAAAACATACCTGTCTCCAGGAATTTCCACCATCAGAAGAAATGAACACGCCAACATCAGTGTAGGAAAGTTCAGAGCCAATATTGCCTGCAGCAAAACCAAGTGTCAGACATTCTTGCACAGATGAACACAGAACTGCATTTGTCCAAGAAACCAAAATTACTTGTCCTGACCAATGCTTTTTTTGCTGCTCTTGATTCTATTTTCATCTAAAAAACCTACCCTGGTCAGGTGACAACACTCATTCACAAGAGCTATGCTGTTTGAAAATTGTGATGTAATGAAATAGAGGTTCCGCTTGAAGGAAATATTTCTAAGTATGAACCTCACGTGGCAGCAGAAATGGTTCAGAGAATTAAGGTGGGTCAAATGACTTTGCAGCAGAGAGGGAGAGACCAGACTGAAGATCATTCCAGACAATGCTGATTGTTCTCAGGGACCTAGTTGTCCTGAATTGTGAATTTAAATTTACTGGTTATTTGGTACAGTTCTTAATTTTAATCTTGTAATTTCCATCAAGATGGAAACTGTTCTGCTGGTAGCCTTATATGATGAATTACTCTGCATTCATTATATATTAAGGAATGGATATGCCACACATTAAAGCAATGCAAAGAAAAGCTCAAACAACGATAACCATGTATATCACAGTATCACAGTATGTTAGAGATTGGAAGGGACCTCAAAAGATCATCTAGTCCAATCCCCCTGCTGGAGCAGGAACACCTAGATAAGGTTACACAGGAACGTGTCCAGGCAGGTTTTGAATGTCTCCAAAGAAGGAGATGCCACAACCTCCCTGGGCAGCCTGTTCCAGTGTTCCGTCACCCTCACTGAGAAGAAGTTTCTTCTCAGGTTTAAGTGGAACCTCTTGTGTTCCAATTTGTACCCATTTCCCCTTGTCCTGTCACTGTTTGCCACTGAGAAGAGCCTGGCTCCGTCCTCGTGACACTCCCCCTTTATATATTTATATACACTAACAAGGTCCCCCCTCAATCTCCTCCAAACTATAGAGACCCAGCTCCCTCAGTCTTTCCTCATAAGGGAGATGCTCCACTCCCTTAATCATCTTAGTTGCCCTGCGCTGGACTCTCTCCAGCAGGTCCCTGTCCTTCTTAAACTGAGGGGCCCAGAACTGGACACAATATTCCAGATGAGGTCTCACCAGGGCTGAGTAGAGGGGAAGGAGAACCTCTCTCGACCTACTAACCACCCCCCTTCTAATACACCCCAGGATGCCATTGGCCTTCTTGGCCACAAGGGCACAGTGTCGGCTCATGGTCACCCTGTCGTCCACCAGGACCCCCAGGTCCCTCTCCCCTACACTGCTCTCTAACAGGTCGTTCCCCAATCTATACTGGAACCTGGGGTTGTTCCTGCCCAGATGCAGGACTCTACACTTTCCCTTGTTATATTTCATCAAGTTATTCCCCGCCCAACCCTCCAGCCTGTCCAGGTCTCTCTGGATGGCAGCACAGCCTTCTGGCGTGTCGGCCACTCCTCCCAGCTTAGTGTCATCAGCAAACTTGCTGATAGTACACTCAATTCCCTCATCTAAATCATTGATGAATATATTAAATAATACTGGTCCCAGTACCGACCCTTGAGGCACTCCACTAGATACAGGCCTCCAACTAGACTCCGCCCCATAGACTACAACTCTCTGGCTTCTCTCCTTCAGCCAGTTCACAGTCCACCTCACTACCCGATCATCCAGACCACACTTCCTCAATTTAGCCACAAGGATGCTGTGGGAGACCGTGTCAAACGCTTTGCTGAAGTCAAGGTAGACCACATCCACCGCTCTGCTATCATCCATCCACCGTGTTATTTCCTCATAAAAGGCTACGAGATTGGTCAAGCATGACTTCCCCTTGGTGAAGCCATGTTGACTGCCCCTCATAACCCTCTTATCCTTGATATGCCTTAAGATGGCACCAAGGATAAGGTGTTCCATCACTTTCCCAGGAATGGAGGTGAGGCTAACCGGTCTATAGTTACCCGGGTCCTCCTTCTTGCCCTTTTTGAAGACAGGAGTGACATTTGCTTTCCTCCAGTCCTCAGGCACCTCTCCCATTTCCCAAGACTTGGTAAAGATGATGGAGAGCGGTCTAGCAATGACAGCAGAACACCATTTGGAGATACTACCTTGTAGCTTGAAACAGGTTTTTTTTTCAGCATACTTTATCTGAGCATAGAGAACCTCAAATCTTACAGTAATAAACCTTAATACAGATTAAATAATGGCCTTGAACTAAATCCCCAACCCTCTGAAACCTCTGAGCATCCACCAATAGCTTCAAGAGAGAGAAGCCCAATATCTGAAAAACTTGAACAAGCAATGAAAAGACCTTAGTAGCTTCTTTCTCACACTCCCCTGACATCAGCACCTTGCTTCTGCTTCCAGAGTTAGGATTGCCAGAAGCACCCAGCTCATTGAACAGTGCAGATCTGCTCTATTTTGTTCTCACCTCCCCATTTCCCAAAGCACTCTGTGGTTCAGGGAGAAGCTACCACAGTCACCCAGGAACTGTTTTTTTTCTGATGGTGTGTCAACAGTAAGTTCAGTCAGTGATAGGTGGGATTCTGGTGGTATGAACATCTGTCCTATAGGAAGCAGGCAAATGTAACACTGAAAGATACTCTGTCAGAAATATTCCCAATAATGGCCCACAGCCACCATATTGTGGGCAAACCCATGACTTTTTTTATTCAGAGCCTAGAAGTTCTTTACTCAATGATCCACTCTTGCACCTTTTGAATGAGACTGTTTTAAAAGCAGGTGTAATTTCCACGGAAGTAAGGGAGAACTAGTATTTTTTCTTCAAAAATAACAAAGAGAGATGTGGCATTCTTATAAATATGTAGCATCAACAAGAGCATAACAGCACACTAAAGAAATGCTAAATTTTTTTTACATTTAATGCTGGAAAATGAGAAATTAAAACTCAGACGTGGGTTGACGCTCTCCTGTCACCATCATGAAACCCAACTAGCCACACTGACATCACAACACTGTTTCAGAAAATATAATTTCTTGTTCAGGGAGGCACTGCAATTCAAGTAAGGTTTTTTCATAGATGCTCAGGATGTAGGAAATGTCACACTGTACATCTACCTCCTCTTATTCCCTTACACCAGCAAGAGTGACCAACTGCTTTAGATGAATGTGCAAGGAAAATCTGCCACAGGCAACCATAAACCTATAGCAATACCCACGTTCACAAAGATAAATTTACTGTGTCAGTCCAAAGATCTGTTTAGACCAGTGTCTTATCACAAGTGTAAGTCCTCAGGAATTAAAAACTGACTTAAAGGCAGAAGTGGAAGTTTTGAAACATCTTATTTTAAATATCAAAACTGGAAAATCAACTTTCTAAACAGGGATATCCAGGTTATGGCAAGGAAAGAAAGCAAAAAGTTGAGATTATGTTGCTATCACTTCTTTCTGTCTGTTTTTTCTGTGCAAACCTGTTCCATTATTTTCCTCATTCTCTCCATCTAGTTTCTTTGGCTACACAGATTCAAACTCCAGAAAATATTACTAACTCCCAAACAAGTCAAGGGTGTTCAGCAGCTGTTCAATTAGATACTGATACTAAAACATAATTCTTCCCTTTGAAAGAATCTAACATATCAAGAGTCCGAGTTCCCAATCATTGCTGGAAATGTACAACTTTAAATCAGAGTATGACACAGATTGTTTGAGTAGACAGTGCCCACGAGCATAAATTGCAATGCCTATTCTGGAACACATTTGCCAACATGGTGAGATGCTCCTGGTGCTGTGAAACTGGTTAGTGGAAACAGATGTGTATATTCCCAACAGGTTAGGCTTTTTATCGTACAAGGAGGTAAGGCAGAAATTATATTCTGCCTTTTAAAGGTTAATTGTTAGACTGGGAAACCATTCATCCCATGCACTGGCAGCTTGAAAAGAACCTCATTTAGTAACAATTTAGATCAACGACTAGAATCTCACTGTCCTGCTGTCTCTATTTGCTTCCTAAAAGGTTAAATAAAAAAAGCCTCTGCAATCTCAGCACCACAAATACAGCTTGCTCTTAATCATCCATCTACAGTGCATGACCTGCCAGGAGCAATGACTCCACTTGGCTATGCACAGGAAGATCTCAAGGTTTAAACCAAGTTATCTCAATTCATTTGGGCTGGATCAGTGAACTGGAAATCACATGGTGTTTCCCTTGTTGAGATATAAATGTCATGAAGGGAACCTGTCTCATGTTCTGGCTCAGTCTGGCAAACACAAAGAAGCACAGAAGGACATAAGAATGGAAATAGTTGGAAGAAACAGTGTATGTTCATATAGGCAATACACTAACATGATATGCTTGCAGGCCACTGCTACGGTGAACAGCACAAAGGAAACAAAATGAGCCTCAGAAAGAATGGTTAAGCTATTTGAACATATCTAAACAAATGTAGCAGCCTCTCTGTGAAAAAGCAGGACAGCCTGCATGCTTGAGAGGCCAGATTTCAATAGCACCAGCCATTCAAAAAGCACTTTGTTAGGCCAGCAGCTCCCACAGACCTGTGGGAGTTCTGAGTATAGCTGGTAGCCCCATCCATCCTGATTAGGCTGCATGCTGTGTGCACACAGGGCCTGTGATGGTTGTCAGATTAATTACAGTGGGTCAGCCAGTACCACCATGAAGCATTGTAGCAGGTTGCCATTAAAACATCGCATGTTTTGCAGAACAACCCACAGTAACAATGACCTGATGAAGTGCTGATGAAGTGCTGCTAGCCTTGAAGCCATAAAATAAAAAGGTTTTAAGAATCTGAATGTGCACAAGTCCATGGGACCTGACGAAATCCATCCCCAGGTCCTGAAGGAGCTGGTGAATTAAGTTGCTAAGCCACTGGCCATCATATTTGAAAAATCATGGCAGTCAGGTGAAGTTCACGATGACTGGAAAAAGGGAAATATAACCCCCATTTTCAAGAACGGGAAAATGGATGAACCCAGGGAATTACAGACCAGTCAGTCTCACCTCTGTGCCTGGCAAAATCTTGAAGATCCTCCTGAAAGGCATGCTAAGGCACATGAAAAACAATGAGGTGCTTCCCCTTCACTAAGGGGAAATCCTGCCTGACCAATTTGGTGACCTTCTATGATGGGGCTACAGAACTGATGGACAGCGGTAGAGCAGTTGAAGTCATCTACCTGGATTTGTGTAAAGCGTTCAATACTGTCCCACACGACATCCTTATGTCTAAATTGGAGAGACATCAATTTGATGAATGGACCACTCAGTGGATAAAGAACTGGCTGGAGGGCCACACACAAAATGTTGTGGTCAACGGCTCCATTTCCAGCTGGAGACCAGTAACGAGTGGTGTCCCTCAGGGATCGGTGTTGGGACCGCTCTTGTTTAACATCTTCATCGCTGACATGGACAGTGGGATTGAGTGCGCCCTCAGCAAGTTTGCCAATGGCACCAAGCTGTGTGGTTCGGTTGATACGCTGGAGGGAAGGAATGCCATCCAGAGGGACCTTGACACGCTTGTGAGGTGGGCTGATGCCAACCTCATGAAGTTTAACCATGCCAAGTGCAAGGTCCTACACCTGGGTTGGAGCAATCCCAGGCACAGCTACAGGTTGGGCAGAGAAGAGATTCAGAGCAGCCCTGCAGAGAAGGACTTGGGGGTGTTGGTCGATGAGAAAATGAACATGAGCCAGCACTGTGCGCTTGCAGGCCAGAAAGCCAACCGTATCCTGGGCTGCATCAAAAGGAGCGTGACCGGCAGGTCGAAGGAGGTGATCCTGCCCATTTATTCTGCTCTCATGAGACCTCACTTGGAATACTGTGTGCAGTTCTGGTGTCCTCAACATAAAAAGGACATGGAACTGTTGGAACAAGTCCAGAGGAGGGCCACGAGGATGATCAGGAGACTGGAGCACCTCCCATACGAAGATCAGCTGAGAAAGTTGGGGCTGTTCAGCCTGGAGAAGAGAACACGGAGCAGAGACCTCATAGCAGCTTTCCAGTGTCTGAAAGGGGCCTACAAGGATGCTGGGGAGGGACTCTTCACTAGGGACTATAGTGACAGGACAAGGGGTAATGGGTTAAAACTTAAACAGGGGAAGTTTAGATTGGATATAAGGAAGAAGTTCTTTACTGTGAGGGTGGTGAGGCACTGGAACGGGTTGCCCAGGGAGTTTGTGAATGCTCCATCCGTGGCAGTGCTCAAGGCCTGGTTGGACAGAGCCTTGGGTGGCATGGTTTAGTGTGAGGTGTCCCTGCCCATGGCAGGGGGTTTGGAACTAGATGACCTTAAGGTCCTTTCCAACCCTAACTATTCTATGATTCTATGATTCTATAATACAGTATTGAAAGTAGGAGCCATGCATAAGATAGGCATTCTTGAAGTCCAGGCTTTGCCTGACAGGCATTGTGACATCTCTGTGCTTGCTACTTAAAAGGTGCAATGTATTGATACCTCCCAGAAGCATAGCCCTAAGCCCTATTCTCATTCATGGCAACTCCAGCAAACAGGTAGACACCTACATCAGTGACTGTAGTAATGTGAAGTGAGAGGAGCTAGTAATTCCAGCTGCAGATGTGGGCTTAGATCCGTATATTGGTTATTGTAGAGTAACAAATACCTGACAGGCATTAGCTTTTTTGAAATCAGGGACCACGTGCCTTCTCTTAGCCCATAGCAAGTAGGAGTTAATGTCAATTAGCTCAGCACTTGCTAAAACAGAGCTAAAAGCTTTTACACTAACAGGAAACATCTTACATACTCTCAGGCTACCAGTGAGGCATAGATGGGCAGTTGAGCAGCACTTATGCTCTTTACCTGTTGCCACCAGCAGCCCAGGAACTGTCTCTTTGCTGGAAATGCTTCCTGAAGAATATGGATTCTCTGAGAGTTGCAGATGTAAGTGCAGTGAGCAAAAGGGCTGTTGACAGGAAACAAACAAAAGGCAGAAGCTTTAATATGCAACAAGTTAAGTATCAGCGGAACCACTGTCAACTCCACGCAGATGCTTCAGTCCTTCTGAAAATGATCCCTTGCTCTTAGCACCGTTACATATGTTCATTTTCTGAATAAGCACCATAAAAGTAGCTGAAATAAAAACAGGAATGTTGCATTACAAGCAAGCATATCTGCACTTGTTTTTACCAACAATCTGATCTAGAGCACTTTTTTTCCCAGGAACTTCCTTATTCTGACCTTAAGCTCCATGGGAAAGTTCAAGAAAATGCTCATAATTTTCCCTTAAAATCTAGAAAACTATAGAAAGAGAGAACATATACATAAGTCATTTAACATCCATCAGGCAAAGAGAAAAAAACACAGGGAAAATTTTGTTAACCCAGTGACTAAAATAAGCATCTTTTAATGAGTCAATTGTCCTTTGTAAAAGGTCTGCTGCTCACCAGGTGGCAAACTACAGGATCCCCTCTTAGATCGGTGTCCGGTGCCTGCAGCAAACGCCAATCTCTGCCCTTATTGTAGGTAATGAACGTCTTGATTTGGTCATCTATCTTCCTGTTAGCCAGGAATATGCCTTTGATCCCTGCTACCTAGGAAAAATGGAGAGAGATGAAAAAATACATCGGAAGAACAGACCAAAAGTAAAGCCCATCTGAGCATTCTTCAGGAGCTGAAAGTCTCTGAAGAAGTAATAAAGCCATCTCAGTCTGGTACTAGAAGACTGTGAATGGCATTACAAGTATATCTTGATGATGGTTGCAGAGCTGAAAGGCCTCGTGCAGTCTCTCTCTCTAGAAGAAAAACACAAGGATGTTCATAGACCAGATTCCTAGGAAACAGCCCACTTTTAGGTTTTCTTGAGTGCTCATAGACAGGCTGATGACGGGCTTGAAGATACAGCATACACCATGTCACACATCAGCTTTGTAAGCTTAAGGATGTGGCTGCTCCCTCCCCAGATTACCATAACATTGGAGACAGCGAGTCACATCAGCAGCAGTGTGGGATCTTTTTATGTTGATCTTTTTTTATTTTACCCAAAAGATGGAAAACCTGACTATGCTGAAACACTAATGTTTTGCAAATTTGATTTCTTCACTTTCCTTCCACTCCTAAATTATACCAAAATCAACCCAGTTGATCCAGATGTTTTGATTTTTGTTGGCAGGACCCATTCCAGAAGAATATGGTCCTGTCAAAATGTCTCCAACAAGATTTTGTGTTGAGTCTGGTCTCTGGTGCATAGCTGTGAAAGTGAGACAGAAAGGTTCAAATCTGCAACTTCCTGGCAGCAGCAAGGATGCAAATCCTTCCACTCTAAAGCTCCCTGAGTGACACTACCCTTCCAATGACCCTGTGAAAGTCTCTATCAGCATTTAACAGTAAAATGGTTATGATATACAGCTGGGGAATACAGAGTTTGCCCAGGAATGAGAGATGATGCTTGTTTATTTTAGCTGGTTCATGGCAACAGAGAAACAGTATATTTTTTTCAAAAGCAGGAAAGCATATTTAATTATGTGAAAACAAAATGTAAACTCTGTCCTTCACACTAATCCATGTGTTTGTGAGTTTTCTCTCATTGCCTTAAATTACCTGGATTTTTATAAACAAGTTGAGGTTGTTGAACGGGCATTATACTGGCTGAAATAAATGAATGTCTAATCCTAACTTCTACATGTAACTGCAAAAACATTTCTCCATGTAGCACTAGAAGTCAGCCTGCAACCATTACTACTGGTACTGCTTGCTGCTGGCAAAGCATTGAGCCCTGAATCTCAGCAGATGGTCCATTCAACAAGTTATGACAAGCCAAAACCAGAATGCTCTGAAGAAACCAAAAACTGGAACAATTGTTCTGAACGGACTGCTGTTGGCCACGGCTGAAAGGCCTGGCAGAAGAAAGGGAATGGAAGATGATTCAGGATAGAAGTTATCCAGTTGTTATCTCTGGGCAAATGGCACTTATAAACCTTTTCTTATCATGCATAAACTGCTCAGTGCTCACAATGGTGGAATCCACATTCCCTGCCTGCAAGCAGGTGTCTTAAGCTGTCTCTCAGAAAAAATAATATTTTGAATCCTTCTTTAACCACCCACATTAGGATGAGAAGGATAATGGTTCTCCCTTTTGGAAATGTCACATACTAACTAGTCATTGACTTGAAAGCAACCAGTTGTCACACCTATAGCAGAATGCACCACACCTATTCACACAGGAGCTGGCTCAGCATCAAATCCAGTAAATGCTTCTGTGCTGATCCTAAAACAGATGAAGATCCTGGGAGGCTGGTAAGAGATTCACACTTGCTTTAAGTGTCAAGTTGCTGTTCTTTGTAGGGTGACCTTTACTACATACCTCATAAAGTTCAATGATGATATTCCCCTCCAACCCTCGACTGCTTTTCACATTTTCCAAGGCCAGGGTAAAGTATACCCCTCGGGTGTCTGAGATATACAGATTGTATGTGTCGTTCTGGTTCCACTCTTGAACAGCTGCAAACACCTGATCTTCATCTGTGCTGATAATATGCATGTCCTGTTAAAAGAAGACAAAAGGCCTGGTACTGAGGATCTCTATTTCTTTGCCCTTTGGGACATGTAGTAATTACCATGACTTATGAAAGAATGGAGATGGAGCATGAATTATAGGTATGTTAAACAATTTTCTGTTAGAGCAAGCCAAAAAATTACCTCCCTTGTGACTTCCCTGCATTTCATTTTTTTAATGATCATCAGCTGGGAGAAGGGGTTTTGCTTTCTTCATTTTTGGTAGGTTCAAGGAATTTCATTCAGTTTCACTTTTGATTTATAAATTTGAAAGTCAGTTTTGTCACTCATGGAGATCTACAACCTTGGAGCCTGGAGTCCTCATAGTCACTAAGCATGGTGTAGCACCAGGCTAAAAGCAGTGAGTATTTCCATCCACATGCTGAACTAACAGGCTTGTACTTCCAACTGGTGAACAGACAGTTTCAAAAAGCCTGGGACTTTCACATTTATTTGAAGCTTAGGTATAGGGATCAGTTTGAGCTAATGCTGGTTGTGATTTTTAATAACATACTTTACTACTGAGAGTATGTCTGAGATCTATCATCCCCCTATATATGTCAAATAATCCACTCACTAACCTTTGTTGAATTCCTGCTGCTGACCAAGATATGAAGGTCCAGCAAGGGTTTCCCCATTTAGTTTTAATATCAAAGAGATTTGACAGTGCATTTTCTCAGTATTCTTTTAAAGCAGGTTCATGGAAATGATTTCCAGTGTGGTGATGAGTACTGAAGCACTTCATCCTTGCCACCATTGTTGAACAAACTGACAATAGTTCAGCTAGAAGCAAAATCACTGTGGTTATGTAGGACTCCATTTATCTATTTGTATCTATTTAAAATTTCCCCAGGGTTCAAGGAGCTTTGATTAATTCCTTGCTCTCTTTCTGCATCAAGAAACCATAATTCTGGAAGTCTCCCAAAGGACGGAGTGACCTGATTTTTGGGAAGAATATCTGCGGGAAGATCAGCTCAATATCCCCATCCTGCCTAGGAGGTAATGTAATCTTCTCTGTGAGGTATCTAGACGAAAAGTTGGGGTTAATTAGATGGGGCTATATCTAATAGACCTAACATAGCCTAACAGCATGGGATGGGGAGAAAAACCCTAAGAGCCTAATTCTGTCCCAGTGGGAGATTTGCCATTTCCCTCAATGACGGAAGACTTAATCAAGAAATATGTTCTTGCTCAACAGCCCTAATTTCTTAAAGATTAAGTACATACCCAACCTATTCCAGCAGCATGAAAATAAAGCAAAATATACAATGACTTCAATCTGTTTTGACCAGCTGCAGTGGAATATTGCATTATCCTATTGCCAGCCTCACTTATGTAAAACTCCAGCAGAGTTCATTAATCTCGAGATGACAGGATAGTTATTACTGTACAGCAAAATTGTTCTAGTGACTAAGGGCAGCACGAACAACCCTCCTTTACATGGCTAGAAGACTTTGCCATGACACCGAGCTTAAAAGTACTTTTGATTTTTAAATGACAAAAGTATCCCTAATTTTATACTAGAAACCAATTCCAAAGCAGGGCTACCAACAAATCTGTTGTATAACAGACCAGCAACCTGTAACAGCATCAGTCAAAAAAGCAGGGCTGTCAGTCTCTCTATCTGCTTGTCTTTTTAATGAGGGGCAGTTTTCAAGGCCCACCATAAGGTGGGAACAGAAATAATGTGTTTCTCCTGAAAAATGGCAGCAGGGTTTCCAAAAGTTAGTGTGTGGTCAGACATTCTGAATCCCACACCACCACCATGGACTGACAAACAAAAGAAACTACATTTGTGCTATATGTGTCAGTATGTTGAAGTGTCAGTAAGCTGTTATCAACCCAAACAGAAAGAAACTGAGATGCAACACTGGGAGTTTGAGATGCAAATTTCTTACAACTATTAAGTTTTCAGGTAAAAGTTAAAGCAAATGTGCTGTTATCTGCTAGGCTGCAGGTATCCCACAGGCATCAGAAAGGTACATCCAGCCCACAAGGTAAATCTAGCCAACTATCTAACAGTTATCTCACCAAAAATTTCACTTGTGTAAGTAAGGGGAAGTCCAGTAATGTTGATTAGCAGCCTCCTATGACAATACCCACAATGGTAGTTCCAAGGTTCCAAAGAGCAACAGTAGTCTCAGCTGCCCATTAGCTACTGACAAACTTGCATCCAGCCAAGGCACTGGGAGAGGTTGGTCCCCTCTGTTCTACACAATCCCAAGCTATGGCTATAGTACAGAATCTGGGTGCAACTGCTGGGACATATTCTCCTTTCTGAAGCTTGCACCATTTGATCTGGTAGAAAGCTAATACATGTATGAGAAGTACTAACTTCCTTTTTTCCCTCCCAGTTTTGCCAGTCAGTGTTAATCTCAGCTCATCTCAGTCATCTCCTAAGCATCGTCACACAGAGGTTCTGTGTGTCCAGAGCATTGATAAGGCACAACTTTCAGGGAGCTCACTCAACCTTTATGACTTCTTGGCAACATCCAGCCATAAGATTGGGACAATGGAGCTGCTATATGCTGTGCTTCTCTCATTGTATGGAGGCTGCAGTAGTGCTCAGCATCCTAACCGTTCTCCAGGACCCTCAGTGTCATGGTCAGGCTTACAGTGAAATCGTTAATAAAAACTAGAGTAGGACTGAGGAAAGGTGTTCACAGAAGACTGGTCAAGAAGAAGTTGGTTTGAACTCTATTTTCTGAGGTTCCTGTTAATTCATGTTGCTCTTTACAGAGGAAAAAAGAAACTGCTTTTCCTGAAACACTCATTAATCAAAGGCAGAGAGAGGTAAAGATCCCAGGTCCATATTTAAGATAGATCATTCAAGTAGCAGAACAAAAAGAGCTCCCCAGAGAGGAATCCCACCGAGGTGCTTCACCAACTGGGCAAGCGTGCTATTCAAGATACTGCACGTGTGTGTTCATAAAACGTGTACTCACCTTAGGAAGAGAGTACTTTGGCAACTTAATCTGTGCAAAAGGCTCCCGTCTGTATGACACATAGTAATTTGCTCGTCCACCAGCTGTCACCTGTGGAAACACCAAAGAAAGTGAGTGATGACCCTTCCAAGACACTCTACGCTGACACCGCTAAGAGGGTTTGACAACCTTTCTTTCAGGTATCTTTTCTATGACCTGCACAGCTGTCTTTAAAAACATCTGTATAACTCAAAAAAAATAAAAATAAAAATTCTCAGACTTGATGGACTGGAGTATTATTTATTTAAGCTGTGCTATTGAACTTTCCATTTTGTCTCTCAATGCTTCAAATCCAGCATGATTTTAACAACTCAGGAAAAAGGGAAAAATGGGTATAAAGTTCAAGGTCTTGAGTGGAAGATGATCTGGTTTCATCACATGGTTCCAGCACAACTACCTTAGGCAATTAATTTAAAGTCTCTGCGCTTTTGTCCCTTTCCTGTAAGAAGGAGATAATACCTCTTTTCTCTGCTGCTTCTCAGCCTTATATGTCTGCACTGAAAGTCCCTTGGGGCCATGGTTGTCTTCCAACATAACAACAGAGATCCGCACTAGCACCATTTAATGCAAACAATAAATGCAATGAATGTGCTCTTGGAGAGCTGGAGCTAAGCTCTTAGATGCGCTTTGTCATTATAAACCTGGTTTCTCTGAAATGCTACTGTCTCTGCATGAGGATGTGAGGAGGAACTGACAGTATCCAAATCTGTGGTTTTATGGACTGAGTGAGCTGTAAAGGGTACATATAAATGTCATACATCAGTGAGAACTAGCCCTGGTAATTTGTAAAATATGGGATTTTAAACCTGTCACTAGCCATTCTTGCTGTAGGTGTTCGTTCTGGCACCATCTCAGGCCTGGCTACAAGAAGGCTTACATCGGTGAATTTCATATATTCTGCTGGTTTGGCAGTCTTGCAGATTTTAAGATAAAACAATACACAGAGCACTTCTCTATTATATAGAATGTCATTTGTTGCTTCTTAAGTTTCCAATAAAAATAATGGAGAGGTCTGAGATTCTCTCCTAGATATATTTCCTTTTATTTGACAGTGATATTTCAGAATGATCTTACATAGAATATTGCTATAGCATCAATTATATTCTCAGCAATGATATCACCTCTACATAGTGGTTTTCTTCCCTAGAGAAGCTGTCATTTGAAGGACACAGTATTACTGGTCATGAAATTTCATATCTAATCAACTTAAGATAAGGCTTTACTATTGACAGTTTGAAGAACTGGAAAGAAATGAAAGTTTAGAAATAGGACAGGCTTCTACACTAAGACTTCTTCTGCTTGTTTCCCATTTTCCCTTGTAATGTTATCATAGCTGCATTTAATGCTCCCAGAAGAAAAAAAAAAACCACACAACTAACATTGTATTACACACCACATAAGAAGGCAGAAGAATGACCCATATCACAGCAAACAAACACTACACAGACAATACACAGCCTAAAGTCAAGGAGAAACACAGACATGAAAATCTAGGGCAATTTCCTATAGTCTCGAAACAAGCCAGTGGCACAGACGGGGAGAGAACAGGGGTCACTTGACTCTGACTGTATGTAGAATGCACTATGGGCTGGCACAGTAACTTTTCAGGCTCCTGCTCTCCAGTTGTGAGGCTCACCAAATGACTATGGGTGTTAGTTCTGAAGGATGCCTTTCCTATCTAAGACATCCACACCAAAATCAAGTTGTCATAGGAAAGACCAGACTATGCAGTTGATTTCACACTCAGCCCAACTCAAAGGCAAAAAATTATGTTTGCAGTAATTGTACCTCTCTATCAGTTGTATAAGCGTTGCCTAAAGGATCCCACACTTCTAGGTCACATTTACCTAAACAGCACAGGGATTGTTGAAACATCCTCTCATGGTGATATTTCTGACCTCCAATGGAAGATCCAAATTCTCAAATAATATAACTCTGCCCCGTGAACTCATTTTACAACACTCATGATTTCAGCAACAGATCATTTTCTGTAGCAGAGCCCAAATAGGACTGAATATATCTTGCTGCATAGTCCAGTGACTATGCAGCAAGAACCCTGGGTTAATATCCACCTCTTCTGATAGACTGAGACATGGCCATTAACTCATCTTTAAGATGCACACATGAATAAATGAATATTTACATATTTCATAGATGCTGTGATGACAGTTAACTTTGGGAATGGTTCGACAATCTTCAAGTTAATCACATAAACATAGTGTGGCAGAAATATCCAGGGGCATATAAAAAATACCAAAATCCCTTCTCTCTGTCAAGACAGGATCTACTCCAAGTCTGCCACATTCAAAAGATTTTACATAGACTTTTTGGCTTTATACCACTGCAAACTGGTAGCTGGAGGGTTTTATATTTTGTTTGTTTGTTTGGATTTGATTGTTTGTTTGAGTGCTTTTTTTAAGGCAGAGAGGTAGAATTCAGACACTGTTTAAGTTCATTATCCATTAGCCAAACTCCCTTTCAGTGCTCTACCTGGACTAGGTCACCTTGACAAAGTTTGAGAAATCAGAAGCTCTGTGGTCTGTGGACTTTCCGAGCCAGTTAATATGAAGCCACCCACAATTCTGTTGGCAGGATTTGTGTGAAGCTTTTCCCAGCCAGGACCTCATCTTTGCATGATTTACATACACAGTTACAACAGTTCCAAAAAATGATCAAGCCTTCAGCAAAGTTTTGGCAAGCACCGTGGTAGAGAATGAATTTTGGAAAGCCCCACTTAATTTATTTTGATGAACTTTTTCTTTTCCTATGAGCAAATTCTCCAACACTGTACATCCCAGAGATTATTATCATGTTTTGCCCTCTAATGCCTCTCTTTAGTTCATATTTGATGAATGTCACCCAATTATTTGCTGTGAGCTCATCTGTCACGATCAGTACAGAATTAGCTGGGTTTGTCTTTTTCCTCCTCCTTTGGTAATGACTGGCTCGTTAATCTGCTTCTCTGGATTCTATTTTATGTGTCTAATTGGTCTTCTGGCTGGTGGAAATTATTCCTTTGGATAGATGTGTTTGTCATTAAACGCATCTGTCTTTCCTTTCCTGTGTTCTTTCTTCCTCAGGAAGATCTGCTACTTTTCCTTAATACTTCCACATTTTGTTTCAAGACTATTGTCTGGTCTTGCACAGGACAGAGCACAAATGTGTACTCAAGGCTGTAGATAAATATAGAAATACTGTCATAGAATCTATTCTTCTAAATAATGTTTGGAAAACGAGCAGGATGAGTTATGCAGGATGAGTTATGAAGTACCAAAATGTAAAGACATGATAGATGATGTCAGAAACTGTAGACCACAGTGTACCAGGCTTCATTCTCATCTTCCTGGATAGCTGATGCTGGGACCTGTTATTTTCAGTGTAAGGTAGGTACTGATGTAACAAACATAGAACTTCTAAATCTATGACATGACCCCGGGCTAAACAAGACCCCGTCTGCCTCCTGTTGTTCAAAGAACTCGCAGAAAGCCTAAAGAAATATAAACTGATGCTAACAACAGAACACCATATATTAGAGGCACAGCCTTGGTGGAGAAACAGTGACAATGTGCATATAGTGGACACTTCCTAAGCCAGTGGCTAGAAGAGAACAGAGGGCTCTTTTCTACATAACTTATCAACCTGTGTAGTTTGCAACAATAACAATTACTTGTCCTGCACAATTAATGAACAGGTCATCTACTTTTTACACTGTTGATAATGTTGAAAGCAAAAAAGAATTAATAATAATAGCACAGAGCAACCCACAATGACTAGACATGTTTCGACATTTGTGATTCCTGTCATTTTTCTCCCACTTCAAGCACAGTAAAAGACAACTCAGTCTATTACAGAACCAGATTTAAACTTCCTTGTCAATAGTAAGTACTTGATGGTACATAGCTGACGTTACTTGCAATAAACCCCTCACTTTTTTTCCTGAGATAACTTCCTCTGTTGCAGAGTTTCCTCCTTCCCAGTACCATTGAATGAATTGGTAGAAGTTAAAAGCTGAGAAACACTATCAGTATTGTAAAGGCATCCTGAATTTGTGTTCTCCACCTGCATAGGGTGCACTGGCATCCCTCCTGTCCACTTTTAATTTAGTTAGCATTCCTCCTTCTTGTGAGCATAAAATCTGCTAAACCAAATTGTGGATTAAAGCATGGAAGAGTGATGACAAGTTAAGCAAGCAGGCTGCTCCCCTCACGCCTTTAGAGAGGGATTCTGGTCTTCATCAGAGCTAGCTACTATCTACACCTTGCATAGGTTTGCCACCATGAGGACTGAAAAATTGTGCTTCCTCTCACAAGCCTAACCCCAGTGACAGAAGAGATTCAGAAGATGAGGAAGAACACATTTGCATGAGCCTAGTGCAATGTTCTTCCTTCCTGTTTATTCACCATGTCCAGGACAAACCATCTTCCAGATATTTCTGTGTACTGAAGTTTTCCACTGCCCCAGCACAAATCACATCATGATAAGTACCATCTAGTCTGAATTATCTCCCTGTGGTTTTCATTAATATCATTACTTCTGCACAGTCATTAAGGCAATATGTAGTTACCTGAGTGTGCTGCAGAGACTTGAGGATTAGTGTTTCTGTGCACAAAACACCTTTAAGCTGCCTGGTAAATTCATCAGGCTTTCAAAACGTGTCTTTTTAGAGTGTCATCAGTGAAAATTTGCTAACAGAAAGGAGCACTTATTACACTGGCCCAGTCCCTGATCACTTCCCTCTCCTCTCAGAGCTATGATGGCACAGCTATAGGACAGAGTAATCTTCAGTAAAAATATTCTATTTGTTTTAAAAGCAGCTCCTACAGAAAATGTGTGTGGTTACACCAAAACATGAGCCACATTAGAGCTGCAAATATACATTACTCACACAGAAACCAACTTAAGAGAAGAGCATAATTGTACACATTAAATCTCCTTTTGAAGGATTTCGGAGGAAACATATGACTCTGTCAAGGTAATCTTTTGCATCTTAAGCTGCAGACACTGGTGATAAATATGAGGGGAGAGGAGGGAGTGATAAAAGCAAGTACAGC